TTTTCCTTGAGCCAAGACTCATGATTGAGTAATTGGCCAACAACACCAGCAATTCTTAGTTTATCAAAATCAGGTCTATTAGCAATAATAGTAATAATGGACTCATATTCAGATCCGAGTCTACTCAAAATACACAGAACAAGATCTTGTCGAGAAACAGGTTTAGAGACAGCATAAAGGTTGTCAACAATACCTTTGGCCTTCTACATGTATTTAGAAATAGAAAGGGTGCCTTTCTTCATACTCTGTAGTTGTCTTTTCAATTGCAAAACTCTAGAACAAGAGTGTGAAGCAAATGACTCCTCCAACACACTCCAAACTTCAGAGGATGAGGACATACCTACGACCTGGTCGAGTATACCCTTAATAAGAGATGAAATGGTCCAACTGAGTACCAGTTGATCCAGTTGACACCAGTGGTTGAATGCTGGGTTGATAATCTTCCTTGATGGATCCTTAGGATCATCAATTTCTTCAAGAGGAGTAGGGATTTTCCCTTCCACTATACCCATGAGTTTGTGAGTACGGAGGATGGGAAGAAGTTACGCATGCCACAAGAGGTAGTTGTTGCTATTCAAATTGATGGGGAGATAGTGGGAAACATTTGGAATTGATCCTAGCGTACCCAATAAATAAAGAATAGAAAAGACTAAATAAATTATGAATGGTTCAGTCGGAATGAAGAACCATTCAAACCCTGTATATTTATAGATGAATAAGTACAGTTTGAGTACAACATATAGTTGGAGAGAGTCAAATAATAGTGAACTCTATCAGATAGAGTTTATCTTAGGTTTGAACTCTATCTGATAACATCTATCTATTTAGTTGAGTTCTATCTTAATCGAGATAGAGTTACATCTATAGATGGAGATCTATTTTATGACATGTCAGCATCTGATGATGTGCCAGTATGATTATCCTCAATAATGGGGATCAATGATCACACCTGGAGACCATTAGGATGTTGATATCCAATGATCGGAAATATGCTGATATGATTGTAATAATCTTCTATGATTTATGTTACGGCTAGTTGATACATGCTAATGAAATAAGGCATTCAACAATTTATTTAATTTCTTCTTCTTCTTTAGTGATCTAGTGATTGTTGAGCCCTCTTTGAGCGACACACCGGTTTGCTCGGGGGAGTTATGTATCTCTAAAAAGGGTATGTAACAAATGGTATCAGAGCCTATACTATGCCTCTCAGTTGCAATCATGCGGTGTAGGTGGTGATGTTGGTATTGTAGTGTTTGACCGGGACTATGTGGACTAGTGCAAAGCTAGCCTATGTGGGTGCCGAGACTATAGAGCGTGGTGGAATGTTACAATCCATTTATCCCGTGTTGGTAGTATGGGATGCTAATGTGAGGTATCCCACATCGGTAGTATGGGATGGTGTTGTGGGGTATATATGTGCTTGGGTTCCCTCCCTCTAATAGCGAGCTTTTAGGGGTGAGTTCTCCTAAGGCACATAACACAAGAATAGTGTGGATGCAAGCCCAAGTGAGCTTAAGTCCAGATCTCTTTCAAGAATCAAACAACCCAAATTTGCTAGATTGGTGAAACTCACAAAACCAGGTCATAGGACTAACGAGAAAATTTTATAAAGGAAGGTTGGTGGCTCTCCTTAGAAGTATATGGGATGAAAGGAACTAAGTACTTGTCAAAAAGAAAAAACCAAAACCATTGGATGTGGGTAGAAAAGCATATGAATATTTTTCTCTGGCCTCCCAAAGCAATGGAATGGACAAAATCACTCAAGCACAACAAGAACTAATTCAGATGGTTCTATAAAGAAGATAAGATGTTTGCTATGGTGGATGGATCTTGGCACCCAAGCACACACAAAGTAGGTAGCCAACTACAGGCATGTTAATTGTTTCTCCTATAATATATATATATATATATATATATATATATATATATATATATATATATATATTTCAGAAAGTCAACATTGTATGGAAAGCATCTCAATCGAAGTTGAATACTGGGCAATGATCGAAGGATTAAGAAGACTTCTTTTGTTAGGGGCTAAAAAGGCTATATTGTTCTTAGATGCCAAAACTGTTTTGGAGAAACTAAAAGGAACCCACGAAAAACCCCTTATATGAAAGAGAATGAAGGTAGGAGGAGGGTTATTCGTTTGAGAGCACAGTAAGAAATAAAAATTTTTGTAGGAGGAAGTAGGGGTGCTCATAGTACAATTAACCGAACCATGGGCCTTTTTTTCAAACTGAATCGATTTTTGGTTTTTGGAAAACTGAATTGAAACCAATTGGCTAACTTGTTCACTAGTTTGGTTCTTCAGCTTTTGTGGTTTTCTTGAATTTATAATATATACTAAAAATGTATGTAATATATATATATTATAAATATATATAATATATACATTATTTAGAGTATCAAAACAGCCTTGTGTATCGATAGGGGTGTATTGGTATCTTAAATCATGCATATTTTATTTTCTTTTTTTTTTCAAACTTCAGTTTTATGTATATTTATATATACTATTTATTAAAAAAAATGGGTTCCTCAAAACACATGTAAATAGGTATATCAAGTACCCAACGATATGATACAATATGCTCGATATGGGGCATATCATATTGAAACTTTGAACCTTGAATATATATACCTATTAGTTTAGTTAACCTCCGGTTTTTCATATTGGTTAATTGGATTTTTTGATTTGATTTCATCATATAGTTCAATTTTTCAATTTTTTATGAGCACCCTTAGGAGGAAGGTGGTGTAAATTTCACATTAAATATTGGAATGCAAAATTTTGCACTACTAATGAGTGCAAATGAGACAAAATACAAAATTTGTATTAAGTAGGAGTGCAAATCATAGTTACAAACAAATAAATGCAAAACTTGTATTTAATTCAAATTTGCAGGGCAAACAAATGGAGCCTTAGGCTCAGTTTGGAAAGAGTACAAATGCAAATATGTATAGTACAAATACATACAAAATACAAGGTTTTGCACTCTACATATTTGTATTTTTACTCTTTCCAAATGGAACCTTAGGCTCAATTTGGGAAAAGTACAAATACAAATATGTTCAGTGCAAATACAAGTAGAGATGACAATATGTTCAGTGCAAAGTACAAATATGTTCAGTGCAAATATAGTACAAATACTATATTGTATTAGATAATATAAAATAGTTCTAGGTAGGTTTCAAAAAAAATAAAAATAAATAAATTTATAAGCATACAAATAAAAATGACCGGGGCGGGGCGGGGGCAAAGTCGGGGATCCCCATTCCCTGTGGGGACGGGGATGGTGTTAAGATTTTTAGCCCATGTTAGGCTTCGGGGCGGAGCAAGAAAAACCCAACCCCGCCCCATTACCATTCCTAAATGCAAGGTTTATAATACAATATACAAGATTTTGCACTGTACATATTTGTATTTTTACTCTTTCTAAACTGAGTGTAAATATATTTGTATTTTTACTCTTTCTAAACTGAGTGTAAATACAAATATGTACAGTGCAAAATCTTGTATACAGTATTTTTAAACCTTGTATTTGCACAGTACATATTTGTATTTACACTCTTTCCAAACTGCTTTAGGGATCAAGTCTAGGGGTATATGTTAAGCCACTTAGATTGGGTTGAAGCTAAGCTTTACCCAACCCAAGGAGTTAAACCCTCCAGCCCCAACCCTAACGTGATGTAAAATTGAATTCATACTTTTCAACCCTAACATTTACTTGAGCTTCAAATCAATCAAACCCGAATTTTTCACTGTTCAGGTCAGGCTTGAAATAACCTGGCCCAATGCTTAGCCCTAATTTTCAAATTGTAGAATGTCTATTCTGGGAAGAAAAATAAATATAGAAATCCTTAGTAAACAATGAGTTTATATGCAACTCTTGGTCTTCTTTTTCCCTAAACAACACATGGTGGAGGCTCATAAAAAGAGTGAATTGCATAAATTCATTGTTTACGAAAGAAAGAAAAGAACAAGGAAAAGAAATAATATATTTGCAGTTGCCCTCAACAATCTGATAATTAGCAAAGCTTTTCCTGTTATTTAAATATTTACTATAACCTCCCCATTAGATGAAGTGACATTACTTTGCTCAGTTTTCGGTTATAGGATGATGAAATTAAGAGACAATAATACCACTTAGTCTTTAATTGAACAATAATACCACTTAGTCTTTCATTTTTAGGTGACCAAAACATCCATCATACATTTAGACCGACATTAACCAGGGGAGAAGAGGGCCACCGTTGCTGGAGAAGACAAGCTGGCAGACCCATGTCAAAATTGCCAAAAGAAATCCAAAATTCACAAAACCCTAAGCCATCTGCTACAAAAACTGTACAAGTTGTTTTTGTGCACTGAATGAAAGGTCTGATAAGCTGACTTTTCAAATGTTCCAAGTACAACATGAGTATGAACTCTTAATTTTACAGATTCCTCTTGGTGGCTCATACCTACATTCCTAATGAGCTAAGATATGCTTTGGTAACTTTTTTCTTCCAAAAATGATTTCACATTTTGATATAAATGTTAATGCTTTTTACTCCTCTCTAAAATTCTACCTCTCTGTATTTAATTTAATTGGTGGAGCTATTAATAAACTATTTTCTTTCCAATTTCCTCTTTATCATGAAATTTAGTCTGATGCTTTCTTTTTTTTTCTTTCAAATAACCATTTAAACTAAAAGCTTAGTTAAGGTCCCTAAAAAGGTTATTATTTTCTGACATGTCCCTTCATCGTAAAGATGAAATACTTAACCACTTGGTTAAATAAGGTCTTGTACCATTCAACCACGAAGCTTATGCTGTTAGGTGAGGTTTAACATTTGCTTTCAGAGCCACTAGTTCTGGTGAGTTGTTATCAATGATGGCTGTCTTTGCTGATGATGGAACGGTTGGGCATATTAATTTAACTGTTACCTACCTCATATTTATTATATAGAATAATAGAAGTCGGTATGTCAAATATTTTCTAGCAGGTAACCAAGGAGGTAAAAAGAACATCAAATTAACAACAAAGCCTAGCAAGCAAATACGGCATCAATGGAGTTGAAGCAAATATCTGTTGAAGGAGTATCAGAAGAATATGAGCCGGTAACCCCAACTGGGCAGTTTTTCAACAGTTCAGTTCTCTCTGTCTGCATTCTTGCTGCTTTGGAAATCGAGATTCCAATCGATGACTCACCAACCATTACTCTGATTAAGGACATGTTCCTCCCCATAAACCCACGCTTCTCCTCCATCATGGTACTCTCTCTCTCTCTCTCAAAACCCATTTCTCATCTGTAACTCCACAATTCAAACATTAGACTGTTCTGTGTCCAGGTTAGAGACGATAATGGAGTAAAGCAATGGAAGAGGGTTGAAGTTAAACCTGAAGACCATGTGCGTATCCCTGCTTTCCCTGATGGGTTGTCGCCGGAGACTTACGACGGATACTTACAAGACTACTTGGAGAAGATAGCAATGGAACGACTTCCACAGACCCGGCCGCTGTGGGAGATCCACTTGATCAAGTACCCAACAAGAAATGCAGCCGGGACTCTTGTGTTCAAGCTTCACCATGCACTGGGCGATGGTTTCTCACTCATGGGTGCATTGTTTTCTTGCCTGAAAAGGGCTGATGATCCTTCTCTTCCCTTAACTTTTCCTTCATCCCGATTCAAAAAGGGTAGCCACAGCATTTTAAAGAAAGTACCCAGACTCTTCTCCATTTTCTTCAACACTATCTCAGATTTCAGTTGGAGCCTTCTAAAGAGCAGTTTGGTGGAAGATGATCGGACGACGATCAGGTCGGGGGAGATTGGGGTGGAGTTCCGGCCTGTCACTATATCTACTGTCACATTGTCCCTTGATCGGATCAGTCAAATCAAAGCCAATATTGGAGGGGTAAGTGGGATATCATAGCTTGAGGTCTAATAAATTTTTTATTTTGATGAAATTTCAGGTTGCTTGCATGAAAATGATTCAATTCGCATCTGCGCCCCGTAGCCCATCCCAGCCTGCACTGGTACTGTTATTTTTGTTTGAATTTTGAATCTGGTTTAAAGGGGCCGATTTAAGGCCGATCTACCCTTGAATCACTCGCTGACCCGAAACACCCATGTAGTAGGACGTCGGGTAGGCTCTAATATAATACGTATTGATTCATATGGAGATATTCCCAATGCATATTGTGGGGTGCCCGTGGGATAAGTTTTGTGAGGCGCAAATGCATGAAAATATCTAAATTGTCACAAGGAAAATTAGTGAGCCTTGTACCACTCTCGATCTCTTACCCACATCCACACTCACCGCAAGATACTATCACCGGATGACGGATGCGTGATCCTAGGCATACATAGTGTGTTGTGATTAGGGTTGTGGGAAGAGTTTGTGAGTAGGAGATCTGAATTCTGACTTGCACTTCATATTGCACCTTTTAGTTAAATCGTTATAAAATTTCTACCGTCTAGGAATAGCAATGATGTAGAAAAGCCATGGGGCACCCCCTCTCCATCGCCGTCCCATAACCAAAGTCCCCTCGGCCCTACCCAGCCCGTTGAATTGACGGTGGAAGGGCAAGGATTAGGAATTCCCAACCTTTCCCCAGCTCTAACAAGGGGGACTTCATATTGAGGACTGGCAATGGAGTGCAATTACCATGATAAGAGAGGCTACCAACACTGGCGCCAACAAAGGACTCCCATCGACAATGGTTGATAGTGAAATTTGGAGGACTTTGTGGCAAGTTGAGAGCTCAAATGACGATTAAAGAAGGCTTTAGTCTTTAGGGAATTTAGAGGAAACAGGAACCCTAAGTCGTCACCTTGTAGGTGTTTGGCATGGGAGCGCTTTACAAGTGTTTTGTTTTACAAGTGGGTCTCAATTTACAAGTGATTCGTTTCACTTGTGCTTTTTATTTTTAAATACAAAAAATGGGATGCAGGCTGACTAGGTATTTAAAGTGATTTGGCTTGATATTATAATATATTTATAATGATAACTGTATTATATCTCAGAAAGTAATCAGTTTTTTCAAATTTTAATGTGCCATATATCATTAAGGCGATTCAAGGAATATTCGACATTTCAAGAAACCCCTCATTTCCCCAGAATTCCAAAACTAATCATTATAAACACGTTTTTTGAGAAACACTCTTACCAAATGCAATTTTCTTGCTAATTCTATTTATTTGCTGATGTGGCATACATGACACATCAATAGAAACGGAACAGTCATAAAACTCACCGGTGCCACACACTCATATACCCCAGGGTATTTTAGAACCTAAAATTTAAGCCAAGAGTATTTTAATAGTTTAGAATTATATATAGATCTCATACCTGCTTCGTCCAAAACCTAGATGATAATTATCCCATACCCAATCCATCCTCATTTAAGATTTAAATGAGGATGGCTTCCATGACTGACCAGAGGGTGCACGGTTTATTGTTCAATGCTAGGATCCAGGCTTGGCGTTGGGTCCATGCCATTAAATTATTACATTTAATAATTTATAATATAAAATTTATATAATATGTTATAATTATATATAAAATTTATTAATATATTGTGGGTTGAGCCAGACTGCAACCCCTCATCTGTTCTGCCAGTTCTTAGTAACACTAACATTTATAAAATGTCGATGCCAGACTTGGCAGTGTTGAAACTTGTAAGACTTGGCAAGGACCGGAAGGTTGAATTGATAGAGGGGCCTTCTTTGATCATGCAAAATGAACCACTGGGCTACTAGTTAGTTATGAAGCTATAAATGGCACAAAGATTGATAGAGGTGGATTCAAGTTGAACATTACACAGTTTAGCAAAAAGTACCAGGCTTGAATTCAACAGTGAGCTGAACTTTATATAAAAAAATAAAAATAGTATATATAAAAAATTTAAAAATATTATATATATATATATATATATATATAAATAAATGTATTATGGCCAGATAGATAACTGATGGATTGATTTGACATGATACATTTTAAGTCGGGCTTAGACATGAATTTAAGCCCACGAGCTCGAGCTTAGGACCAAAACACTAAGGCTCGCGAGCTTGGTATTCTCGCCTAAAAATAACGATTAAGTATTGCCAATAGGGAAGTGGATGATTATAGTCGTAATAGAAGTAGCACTGTAGTAGAATAGAATAAATGGGTAAAAGACCAAACCCACACTCGTACCCAAGGTGCAAGCAACTATAGCCCATTATCCAAGTTGAATCACGAATGGACCATACGGTGGCATTTAAGCTGTCATGTGGTATTAAATGCGAGCCTAACCTATAAGAAGATTAATGAGAAAGACCCTTCCATCTCTGAAGTGGTTACTGGTTGACCTTTCTTTCAGAAAAAAAAGGTTGAAATTAATTTTGAAATAAATTCATATCTGGCCAAGTTTGGGTGGGTCCCGTGATCACGTTTTTTTTTTTTTTTTTTCTTTCTAATTTTTAGAATTCTATTTCCAGCATTTTCTATGCTTCAGTTCCACTTAAATATGATACTCTAACAATGAATTTTGTTTTCATTTTTTAAGTTTGTGGGATAGTGTTAATCACTAAATATTAATCTCAAATCAAATAAAAAACCAAACCCAAATAGTAAATTAATTAGTTGAATCAAAATTATAAGTTAAAATTAATCCCATTTATTTTTGGATGCAAAATTTGCATAACTAATAAGTGTAAATCTTTGGGTTGATTGAATTCTAATTGCATACCATCATCAGTAGAAGAGAAAAAGGGAGATTTGGTTCTTCTGAACGTCTTATTCTGTTTCCATGTTTTTAACAGACAATAAATGATGTGATTAGTGGGATAGTATTCTATGGCACTAGGCTATACATGCATGCTTCAAGCCCAGGTTCTAGTAAGTTACAATCCACAGCGTTGGTGTTGCTCAACACCAGGATAATCAACAATTATCAGTCAATACAGGAGATGACCAAACCTGGTGCAAAGTCCCCTTGGGGGAACCAATTCGGCTTCTTACATGTATCAGTTCCCGAGTCCATTGATGCCGATACTGCAAATCCCCTCGACTTTGTCTTCAAAGCAAAGAAGACAATCAAGAGAAAGAGAAGTTCATTGGCTGTTTATCTCACTGGCAAACTACTAGAGATGATGAGGAAATTTAGAGGCCCTGAGGCAAGTATTTGTTCTTCCACAATTATATAATGCACCTCGGATTCATCAATATCATCCAAGCCTTATCCTAACTATATGGGCCGGGTCGAGTATATCAATTGAGTTTCTCTATTTCATTTGTTTGATGTCGTATCTATTGTTAAATTATGAACACTTAAATCATTTCTTATTACTTATATCTTAAGTTCTCTGACTTTGGTATTACAGATAACTGCTCGATATATTTATAGTACACTGAAGAATTCAAGCATGACAGTCTCAAATTTGATTGGGCCGACTGAGAAGATGGCTTTGGCAGATCATCCATCTTGCGGCATATACTTCATGGTGGTAGGAGTACCTCAGGTAATACTCCAAACTTCAATTGGATGACTATGTCCCCCTCCCCTTCTCCCTCCCTCCCTCTCTCTCTCTCTCTCTCTCTCTCAAATTATTTTGACAAGTAGAAGTTTGATGGCTTTGCAGAGTCTTACCATAACAGTAATGAGTTACATGGGGAAGCTAAGGGTAGCAGTTGGAGTAGAAAAAGGCTTCATAGATAGTCAAAAGTTCAATTTGTGCATAGAGAATGCTTTTGAGAGGATATACAAGGCTGCTGGTTGCGGTCCTTAGCACTTCAATTCAAGGGAGCCTCATTCACTCAATAACCGAAGAAGTTTGGGTTTCAATTATATTATGAGATTTATATATATTTCCTTTTCCTTCAATGACCAAGGGATTGTTTGCAATAAATGTTTTTTTTTTTTTTGCTAATATGGTAGTTGTATACAGTTTCTTCCTTGAGAAAGGCTTATTTGGGTACGTCTAGCCTCTCCTCTTCCCTTTGCTTTCAATTCCCTCAAAATTTTATGATTTCTTAATTGATCCCAGGACTCTGCTACAAACAGCTAGGGAACCTACCAACTGAGCCACCATCAGTTGATCACTCATAACTAAGTTCAGTTTCCTTCTTATTAGGAAACTGAATCTAATCACCCCCTTTTACAACATGGGCATCATTCAAAACCAGTCCATGCATGCACCCCTTCTAATAAATAAATAAACAGATAAAAACATAAAATTAAGGAATTCTGTAAATTGGATATGGATAGAGTTTGGATGATATCTTGCCATGCATTACTCTTTAAGGCTGTGTTTGGTTGTGGTGCATATCTGAATCAGATAGAAATTTTGAACCTAGTTCAGTTTTGGATCCATTTACTTGTAACTAGGATTTATATTACTACCTGATAAAATATTTGTACTTTTTGTCTTATTTGCACTCACTAGCGGTGTAAATGTTGAATCTCAAAACTGATGAAGATTTTCCACCACCTTCCCCCTACCTACCTCAATTCTCTCTCACATGGAGATCACATTACCTTATTTCCTACCTCATTCCCAAGCAAATAACCCTTCTTTCTCTATTCTCTTGCATATAAGGCCAGACAATACTACTTTACTTCTTAATTTAGTTTTCACAAGCAAATAAGACAAGGTCAAATCTAAGCAAAAATTAAGCCAACATTTATAATCAACGTATTTGCACTCCCATGCAATTTAAACTAGTACAAATGAATGGGGTGTTATGTAGTGTGAATGAAAAAGTTGTGGGTGTGGAGTAGTCCACACCACACCCTGTGATAGGGACCAATCCACACCACACCATAATCCACAACTGTTCTAAATTTTGGACAGGTTGATGTGGATTGGACTAGTCCAAACCACATTAAATGTTAATCTAGATCAGGTAGGCAAACATGGTGAACATGTTGAGTAAGCACTTAGAAAATATTTTGATGCCTATATCTTAAAATAGCTCCAGCATACCCTTGAAAAAGATTGAAAACATTTTTTGATGCAATTGTTAAAATATTTATTAAGTGCTCATTGAATTTACTTACATTAATTCTACTAGGTATGTATTTGGAATCATGGGCGTTTATTCACTAAATGTTTGTATTTAATTTGTTTGCAAAATGGATAAAATCAATAATTAACTCGTTTATTGACACTTAGGTGCCACTAGGCACCATTAGGCAACATATCAGCAAAACAGTGAATGAGAGAAATGTTGAAGTGGCACCTATGCATATGGATCAAGTCTTCCTTTTGCAAGTCTTTATACATATGGATTCATGAGAGAAATGGTAAAGTGACGCCTATGTGACAACATTTATTCAATCAACACCTATGGTTTCAAACACCGCCTAGATTGAGACTCATTAAAGCGATTAATTGAGATTCATTGTGCTGAAAGGATTGTTCAATGGGCTGTGATACCAAGGAGCAAGGTTTAGCTGAACGCTTTGGGTGAAACTAATGATCACGCCATTGATAATATGCACAACATGTCTACATCGTACATTTTAAAACGGAGGATTTTATGAGTGAAACTGTTCCTTGATTGAAAGTTATCGGCCGGCCACTAGAAAGTCTTAAGGACATCCTGGCCAATTCATAGAAGAAATAGGGCGTGAATGTCTTTTCAGTTCTCTTTAGATGAACGGTTAGCGGGAAATCGAACGGTTGTCACTGCTCGTAATACTAGGGTTTTGAAGCTTTCAACCATAAATATGGCTTGGCTTCTCGCATTCGCCACCGAAGCTTTATTTTGAAAATTATCACTAACTCGCACTCTCTATCCGTCTCTCGTTGTTTCCTTTCTGATTGTTCCATATAAGTTCTCTTTTATTATTCTGGTGGTAAATAGATCTAAACTGGTTCAGGACGATGATGAAAGACATGGAGTGGTGATGATCGACTGATCCCCAATCCTCCTTTTGCTACGTTCTTTCTGAGCCCTGTTCTTTATTTATTTATTTTGTTGAGTCCTTCAGTTGATAAACCCAGATTTTTTGCTTTTACTGATTCCCGGATGATCTTGATCGTTGATCGTCAACAGTCTAAAACCAATCGATGGGGAATCAAGGAAGTTCGTATGGGAATAATTATAGTATTTCGAAATTTCAGATTATTGGGTGAATCTATTTTATAAAATTTATTAACCCATTAACATTTTGTTTTTCTCTTTTTGTACATTTATTTTCTTATGTTTTGAAATTTAAGATTCGAGCGGCCGTGATTTATTTACCGAGGTTCGGTTGAAGAAACCAGATCAACACACGTAGCCTTAAACAATACGGACCAACAGGGGATTCGGTGACGCCGGAAAAGAATATCGGCATTAGCATTGGGCATTAACAAAGGAATTGGGATCTACAGCCAACAGAACGCATTTTAAGGAACTAAATTGTATTTGTTGGGACTTTTGGTGGAGAAAGCTTGGAAGTTAAGCTAAAGATCAATTTACTTGCACCATCTCAGGGGTGGCTCTTGGTATATTAGCTGATTCGCTCCAACATTAATGTGGAATCGATTTTGTAACACCAAATATCAAAAAATAAGGCTTTAAAAAACAAAAGAATACATCAATTTACTTAAAGCTGTGTTTGAATGGGCTTTGTACTGAATTATACCATGATTTGAAGAAACCCTCAGTTTGGTTGGGTGTTTTTCAAAAAAGGGTCCAACTATGATATCGAAAACGATTTTCGATATCATTTCTAAAGCCTCTGCTACTGCCACGTATGCACTAGTTACCGACTTTATTTAAGTAATCGGTAACTATTATTTATATGTTAATTAAAATTTTAAAAATCTAAAAAGCATTCTTTAACATATCCGTTAGCTCACTCCTCTGTTACCCATTCTTATCTTCTTCCGATTCCCTCTTCTGGTCGAATTTCTTCCTCTCTTATTCGTGTTGAAATTGTAAATCTACAATGCCGCCTTTTTCTATTAATTTTTAACATTTTACAATCAAGCATCGAACAGTTCTTCTCTCCCTTCTCCCTTCTCATTTTTTCTATATCCCAATTGGCCAATTACCACTAACAGTCGATTCCATCTCCTTTTTCTTATCTTTTTTTTTCTTGAACACTAAGACTGTTCATGAGTTGGGTTGGATTAATTTATTAGTTTTTTTTAACCAATCCAACTTGATTGATTTAGTAGTTTTGATTTAAATATATACATTTTCAAAATATATATATTGATTTTATATTTACATATATATATATATATATATATATATATTTATATCGGAAATATACATATTATATATAATATTTCAGAACTGAGTTCAATTAAGTTCAATTAATTATATACATATTATACATATGTATAACTGAACTGAGTCATGAGTTCAATTAAGCAAAAGCTACTCAGCCAAAGAAATGAATTAACTGAACTTTGTCATGAGTTGCCTTGGTATTCAACTAAACAATTGTTGTCTTTTGTCAAATATCTTAAGTGAAAAAGAAACCAATTTGTAATGGTTGTTACTTACTATGAAAAAGATAAGTTGGAAGATGGCACATGTTATCTTCCCCACTAGGAGTCACTAAGGAATGCACCCACGAGAGAGAAGACATAAATAGTTCCAGTCCATTTGCTAACGTTTTGCTGCATGAGCATTGTCCTGTTTCAACACTCTAGTTAAGAACATCTTTCACTTATAAATACAAAACCAAAAGCACCCATATGGCCATATCCTTTTCTACATAGTTGTTGTCTGCATTAGCTTTTACCTATCTAGCTTCAGGCTGAGGCCACAAAATAGGTTCCTTCAAAGGAGAATAAGTTTTCCATGAATCATTACATTTTGGTTGGAAGGCTTGTCATTGAGAGATTGAGAGTTACACAGAGAGCCTATCATAGACTCACAAAGCATGGTAAGAATTTTCACGGTGGAAGAAAGGTTTAGGTAAGGAACATGGTAAGTGATGTCGCACAATCTGGATGCTCCATCCTGTATTGAGATTCAGATTCTGATTAGATGTCAACTTGGCTAGCCTAGCTGTGAAGGCTGAGCTGATATTTGAGTGCCAGAGCTGATGTGTGTTGCAAGGAATGGAAGATGAGAGTGTTCGAGCGTCTTTTACCCAAGGAGGTGATAAATCTGCATTTTGATGCCTTGAGGGCATCAATTCAGGGGTATTTTCGACATTAGAATAGTCAAATTGTATCATTTTTCCTGTTAATTTCAATGTTGTGACTTCTGATGGTCCCTATGCAAATTTTGTGCAAAATTGGGAAGTTTTCATGGCTGAAATGTAGATTTTAGGAAGCTATTGTGAAGTCCAACTGAGAGAGGGGGTGTTTTTGTGAAAAACTGAAAGCAGGAGAGTTCTTCCTATCTGCTAAACCCAATTTGGCGCCCCTCCTACTGTATTAGCATGCTCCCCACGCCTTAACAAACCCTATGGCGCCTTTTAACCCATTCTTTTCACTCTTAACAAACCCTAGCCACCCCTAGCTGCTAAATCCTCACCTTCCATCCCTTCTAATATCCACCATCCATTCTAAGGCACTCTCTTTTTAGCATTCTAACCCTAGGAGCCACCTAACTTCTAATCTTCATCATTAAGTTCCCCACCATTAAATCTCAGCCATTCCCTTCATCTTATATCCTAACCATTCAATGTAGGGCACCACCTATTCTTTTAATCTTAACCCTTCAACCCTAGATGTTCTAATCTACACCCTCCATTTTCTGGGCACCCAAATCTCAACCCTACATAATATTGGGTGCCTTCTCCTTTTATTTTCAGCCATAGGATCACCCCAAAAACCATCTTAGCCATCCATTAGAAACCCTAGGGCACCCATATTTTTGCTAAAACCTAGTTGCCACCCCCTATTTCTCTCTAATTCCAGTTATATCCACCCTTTTCTATAGAAAGGACCCCAAGGGCCTTGGAAAAGGGGTTGGTCAATTCACCCAATTAACAAGGCTAAGATTTCTTGAGGAGTTCAAG